CCCCTTTTTCTTTTCCTCCCTTCACATCCCTCCCACCTTCTCCGCTTCGTGTGGGAATTTCTGGCTTGCCTACCAGACTCTTTCAAAGCTGTGAGGAAATGTGCGGATGCAGAACCAAAGTGCTAGTGAAGCCAGGGTCCCCAGGATCATAGTACAGGGATTTATTTTATTTTATTTTATTGGATTAGCAGGGATTATGGCATCATTTGACAGCACCAGAAGTGTGATGAAGTGGACTCAGGGCCCATAGCATCCAAGCACCAAGACTTTCAGAAAGGGCAATGATAATACCTACCAGCCTACACTCCATGTCAGAAAGAAAGATAGTATTAGCACTTCTGGAAGCCTCCAGAAACTGCAGCTGTCCTTTAAAATTAACTCCTGCATTTTTCATCCCTAAAGAAATATCCTCCAACTGTCCCAATCTCTCAGGAATCATCCTGATTAATCCCCTGTCATCCCACTTTTTCGGCTGCTTATAAAATGTCCCAGTTTCTCTTTAACTTCCCCCTTTGTCCTCAGCTTATTTCAGTTGCTGCAAAGTGAGTTCAAATTGCAAAAGTAGTTTGAATTCTGTTAACTCATCTATGGACAGAGGAGAGGAAGGGGTGGAATCTTGCACTTCCCCGAAGGCTCCAGACAAAGCAAACTGCTGCAGCCTCTCCTAGCTTGGCTGCTCCTCCTCATTAATAACCTGCACTCTGATGTTGCTTGGCCACATGTATCCCAGTTTTCATCTGTGAAATGCTGGAGAATCTGCAAAGAGATTTTTACGAAACTAGAAATGGACTTTCAGCTATCTCTGATTCTGGTCTTTTTCTGAAAGTGGGGTTATTGGTGTGACCTGCAGTGGACATCCAGATTTACATTTATATCCTGCCATTCCTGCAGTGAATTCAAGATGGTGCACATTGGCCTCCTCCTCCCTACTTTGTCCTTACACCAACCCTGAAAGGTAGTTAGGACATTAACTGGCCCAAGACAGTTTGTTGGCTCAGCAGCAAGAAACTGGATCTGCCAAGTCCTAGTCAAACTCTAACCAACACAGCATTGTTATTGTGTGCCTTCTAGTCCTTTCTGATTTGTGGTGACCTTACAGCAAACTTATCATGAGCTGGCAAGATTTGTTCAAAGAGGATTTGCCTTTGCTCTCCTCTGAGGCTGAGAGTGTGTGACTTGCCCAAGCTCACCCAGTGAGTTTCCATGGCTGTGCAGGGATTCGAACCCTGGTCTCCACAGCCATCGTCCTAAATCACTGCACCGCACAAGTAGTTTTATTGCTGATGTTTCTACATCTTCCAAAAGTGATCCATCTTTTAGCCCCGGGGTCTTTCGACGGATTGCCAACTTTAATTGATCGCTTTATTACACCGTTGCTTCTTTTATGCAAAGTTTGAACTTCATTTAGGGCTTCTTCTTTTTTTTTAAATATGCATCAGCCTGTGAGCTTCCATCTATGGGCCAGCAGATAAATGGTAAAAAAAATAAAATTAATAAGAAATCCGACAGATTGGTAAAGCACACAACCTCATGTGCGAAAAGGCTTAAGACGCTTGTAAGTTGAGGAGGGGGAACTCTTCCACAGGGAAACGGACTTGAGCTCACCCCCATCCACAGACACACATGCAAGGTGGCAAGCCATTGGGTGGGGAAAACGGGGAGAGATAATTGCTTCTTATGATACTCTAATGG